AAAGCGTCCTTAGATCCCGACACAACACGGAACCGTCGATCAATCAAAGAGCTTTTGTCCAGACCAAGATCCTTTGCAACATTTCCAACAACAGTTCCATCTTTCACCTCCTCTGGAATAGAGTATCTCAATTCAGCCAAAGCCTGCTTCCCGAAAATCAGCAGTAGAGTCACACAAAAAGCAAAGCGACAGTAGTCCTTGGATCGACATCGTCTTTCGCTCTCCATGGTTTTCCAACCACAAATATACACCCGAGTCTCTTGATATTACAATTAAATTTTCTACACAATAGATCACCACACGGTCTCACACGACTCCCGTTCTTCCATCAAATGCATCATCTTCTGCGAAATGCCAAACAAAAGCTTTGATATGGGAGGGTCGATGAGTTCTCTGGGCTCGTTGTGTTACAGTGACACCAGGAGGACATCATTGTATATTGCTTGAAATTGCACAAAGACGTGCTGCGTTACTTCGTTATGTATTTTACCAGAAAATATACCGAGAGACATAGAAAAAGTTTTACCGCCATACTAAAATACTGCTTGATTGCTTGAGGTATTATATTTTATGTTCATTTTCTTAACAGTTCAGTGTCCTGCTGTGTAATTTAAATTTTAAATTACGGGACAAATATATCTATGTACCACTTTTATGTAACGTAACTTTTATATTTCCTGTTCACTGCATTTTGCATGTAGTCACTAAAGCCAGTCCTATAGACAGCGTTTTCCACATAACAAATCTCCCTCATCGAAGTACTATGCGCTCAGTTATCAAGCTTCTTGCAAGATGCTCCGTAAATGCAGTCATCAAATGAATAGTAATGTTCTGTAGGGATTCGCTGATAATTTTACTGACATATCAGTTTCAACACTTGTCCCACACATTGCCATAAAAAGCAGCAGTTACCCCAAACTATTAATTGTTTCTGTTTGAGATATAGTGGTCTTGTGAGTGTATACATAACTACAGTTTAAAACCGAACAACAACACGTTTCAAACAAACCGATTTACTGCAACACAGATACAAGAGAGGAGCGTCACACTACATGATGTCACACTACATGATTTGATGATCTTGAAATTCTCTCAAGAGTGGACAATATGTGAAGAAGTTTAGAACATATATTAGCCCGAGTATATGCGCTATCAATCGACAATAGGACAAGTTATTAACATTGCACGTTACCTGTGAAGTGTTCTTCTACATTATGATGCCAAACTAACAATGCAAAGGCAGTTGTGAAGGTAATGGGCGACTGGACAATATAAGCAACAAAAAAATAATAATGCGGTCACAGAAGACTAGCAACGGTTTTAATAAAAATGCCTTACCTCCTCAGATGTTCTCCTCCTGTCAGGGAGCACTAGTGTATTTGCATGACTGCCAGGTACTATAGTAGATCCTATACTCATCCTGGGTCCAACTAGCATGTAGCGTTTGTCTCCAGATCTGTACTGGATGCTGTGACACAGTGTCCCATCATAATTAGTCTCTTGCAGATATTTAGAAGTATAGTCTGTGGATTTGGAGCACTGCATTGCAATCAACACGATGATGCTGATGAGAAAAAGTACAGAAACTGAGCCCAAAGTTATCATGAGATAAAAAGTCACATTGTCCTCATCGTCAACTTTTGCTGCACTTTTGACATCAGAAGCTGCAAAAGCCTCTTTGGGCTCCACAAGTTTGACAATGACAGTAGCTGTAGCTGAGAGTGAAACGTTTCCATTGTCTTTGACCAGTATGACCAGTTTGTGCTCAGCCTCGTCTGTCTCTGTGAATGAGCGAAGTGTTCTGATCTGTCCTGTATATCGGTCCAGACC